CTGACAAGTAGTATATAATAAGTTAGCACATGATTAAAACAATACCTGTCAAGGTTAAATATAACACAGACATACTTGATTTTCTAGACAAACTCCCTGACAGAATCTCAAAGCTATTCACATTCAGCAATGCATTGGTAGATCACACATATGTGCTCCTTTGGATGCAATGGAACTGCGAGTCTCCTGTATTTACTTCATTTATGTTTTACACTTCTGTATCACCACCACCACCCCTTTTCCATGCTCTTGAATACATTTTAATATGCCACTCAGTCTCATTATTACTTTGAGGGGCCTAAAAACAATTTCTGAGCAATGAATGCTGAACGAATGATACACCCTGGCTACAGTAATTGTCAGTGGTGCAAGTCAGATCAGAAATTCAGCACCACCTATCGATAACTAGGAAATTTTCTGCTAGTTTACGTACACATCTTTTCCCAATAGGAACACCTGGAATCTCACCAGTTGCCAAGTAATGCTGCTCAGTTCCCACTGTGAAAGCAAAATTGCTCTACAGCTGTTAATCTTTTTACCATGCCTCTCTCAAACACAGATCTTGGCTAGTTAGTTGGGATAACTTTTCTTTTGCTATTATCCTTGTATGCTATTCGGAACACATGCTTTATGTTACACATTAATTAAAATTTATTAGAAGTGTGAATTATCCATGTAATACTTCCAGTGCAAAAAAAAAAATCCATTTTAGAAGTCTCAGTTTCTGAAGGGTGTCAGTCACCTCCAACATGAAGAAATCTCAGCAATCGCCTCAACTCGCCACCCAACTTTAAGATTTTTTTCCCACACTCAGTAAATTTCCTAGCAAGTGAGTAATAAGTCATAAGCAATTTATTAACCTTCATTATCAAAGTAACACTGGAAATTCTAATATTGTTACACTTGATTTGACAAAAATGTCCTACATTTCTGACCCATATAATATAATGGATCATAGTCTCCATCAGGTTTTTAGACAGTTTTCCTAGTTAACACAACTGCTTATTTCAGACTATTCTCTTTTAGTTTACATCTTGTTTTTAAAGACCTTTAATTCCCTTTTCATTTCTATCACCTCTCCAATTAAAAGGCAAGCTAGACCTGACATCACCTTCCAGGATTAACCTCTGTCAAGCAGTTCTAAACATAATACACTTCTACAAAAAACTGTAAGCCATTCAAAGACAAAATACAATAAAAAAACAAACCAAAACAAACAAAAAAAAATTGCTGAAGAGAACGTATTAAGGAAATTCTCACGCAGTTTGAGTCAAGTAAATAGACAGATACATCTCAGAGTTACTGTTTGTATTACACTGCAGCAAGATTTCCAAGAACTAGCATCTGCCAAGTGGACATACTCTGTTTCCAAATCCAAGTGCCAAGTGCCTTAAGTTAGTATCAGTTACAATTGCTAAGCAACAAACAGCAAGCAGGACAAGAACAGAGGAGTGCTCACACAGGAGTATCTCCCCCTTGAACTTCCATTTCCTATCGTATCTCTGAACTCCAAACTAATTAAATGGGTAAATCAATATGGAGACAAGAAGGGTGCCTGCAGTGACGAAAGAGAAGTAGGGCTGACACTATCCGTAGTGTGGATTGGGAGCAAGCTAAAACCACTATTTGCCCTATGAAACACCATGAGGCAAGGGACTGTCACTACAGCAACTGAACAGATTGGGTGAGAATACAGTTGTAAAATGTTTAGAGAAAATTAGAAGTAACTTGAGAGAGATGGAGTAGAGTCTTACCCTCACAATCACTGAATTACATTCCATTTCAGCAAAAAAAAATATTAAAAATCAAACTCAGAAGCAGCAAATACTTCTTCCAGCAAAACTGTTGCATCCTATTACTTTGTTTGTTTTCATTTAAACGAGAAGATGGACATTTCAAAATCTATAAATCAGGTATTAATCAGCTCATTCCAAAGTATGCCCTTTCCCAAATCAACAGCTCTGCCCTTTCCTCCAAAGCCAGGCCTCTAACCCAGAACAAACTGTTCACTTATTTTGATTAGTCGCATCCTAACCTCAGGTGGCAGGCTTGACACATTTGCTTTAAATGTAGAAAATAAAATCCTGTGATGCATCTCCTATCATGCAACAACAAGTGTTGAATTTCATGCTTGCAGTTCTGGCAAACCAGAGAAGAAGGGAACAGCAATCAGCAGCAAAACCTCTTTGAATATTTCCATGTTGGGTGTTATCACACCACTTGTAGCTGCATTTGTTATTGTGCAATTAGAAAGGTATGCAGAGAATTCTGGATGCCAATGCTTCCACCTCTGTGGAAGGGGAATGGGGACAACACTTTCCCCTCAAAGTGCATGCTGTGCAGATATGGCTCAGGCTGTATCTTTGGTCTTATCAAGTAGCCCACAAAATGAAAGATCCTGTCAGACTGATGTTATATCTAAACCTACATAGAATCATAGAATAGTTAGGGTTGGAAAGGACCTTAAGATCATCTAGTTCCAACCCCCTGCCATAGGCAGGGACACCTCACACTAAACCATGTCATCCAAGATTCCATCCAACCTGGCCTTGAACACTGCCAGGGATGCAGCATTTATCACTCCTTTGGGCAACCTGTTGCAGTGCCTCACCATGCTCACAGTAAAGAACTTCTTCCTTATATCCAACCTGAACTTCCCCTGTTTAAGTTTGAAGTCATTACCCCTTGTCCTATTACTACAGTCCCTACCGAAAAGATATATACAGAACATGATTTTTAAGTTAAGTAATACGATATTTGCAAGAGATTTTGGTGAATCATTTCAAAGGTATGATAATAAAATGGGGCTGGGGAAGTGGTGTCTATTCATTCTATGGATTTGGTATCTTGAAAGAAAGTTAAATATATTAACAACACATTAGTGCCTGAGAGAAAGATAATGAGCTTATCAGTAGCATAAAAATAAGATACTGCAGCAGAAATGTTCTCTACACAAGAGGAAAAAAGGAGGGTAAAACCTCACTGCAGTATAATGAATGCATGTATCAATCAATACAGAAGAGATTAGTGGGGGGGAAGAAGGAGGAGGGAAGGAAATTTGGGACTCCAGCAGGAATTAAAATGTCCAAAGCGATGAATATTTCTGATACTTATTGTCCCTATTATTCCTGTATTTATGGTTTTGGCAGAATGCCACGGAAGAAAAGCACATTAAGCACCAATATACACATGGGGGGGGGGGGGGGGGGGGGAAGACGACGACAGCAAACAGGACACAGTAAGGACGCTGTGAGAGATAAAAGAACTGCTGAAGACAAGAAATCTTTCAAAGTTGTCTTTGAGAAAAACAAAAATAAGCCCTCCCCACAGAAAACAAGCCATGCTGTTTCTGTTGAAACTGCAACTGCAACATTTCAATTATTCTCAGATGGAAGCAGAATATCAGGATAAGGCCAAATCGTAGTCATCCTTAGAAGTACAACAACATTCTTGTGGGGTGAGATTAAAGTGATGTTACCATACATATGATATATTCTCATTCTTCATTTGAAAAAATACTTAGGGAAGCTACCAGAAGGGAGCACTGCTGATGATTAAATGAACCTATTTGGAGTTTCCAGACAAAATTCTCAGTGCATCAGTTGGAAACTCCTGAGCTGCTTTAACTACCTAGCAGAGGGATGTTGACTCCATGATCTCGCCTTTAACCCAGTTTCAGTGATGAGTACCATTGTGGCAGTCAGTTTTCTGAGAATGTTCATTGTAGAAATAACAACAAATACATTGTTAACAAGATTTACTCATCTGACTTTTCAGTTGTGTTTTGCCTTAGTCACTGAAAAGTTTCAAAACCAACCAAAGTATCAAAGAAACAGTTGCAGAATTAAAATCAGGTAAAGCTTTACAAGCCCATGCTAATTTTTCGGTGGATCACCCCACACAAATATAGTTAACACAAAACAAAGCTCTTCTCCAACCTGTACCACAACTTGACCATGAATGACTGAAAAAAAGGAGCAGCAAACATGAACATGTGCAGATTAAGTAATTCTTTTTCAGCATCTTACAAATACCCTTAGGCATCATTTACCTATTTATTGCTCAACAACATGAAAAGACAGCTTGGAAAGTCCTCAAATTAGATACAGACACTGGTTAGGTGATGTCCAGATGCAACTTAAATCCCACTTCTCATGAGGCAAATCAATTATTTTTAAGGGTCACTGTATGAATAAATTAGACTTGACAAATTCTTCCATCACATTCTTATTTCCTACAGTTAATGACAATTCTGATAAAAAGTGTTGTGACTTTGTCGCAAAAAACAATTTCAATTTAAGTCCAAACAAGGTGCATTACTAACCTTGCAAAACTAATTAATTTTGCTTGAAGCGTTCTTTGCAGATATGTTTGTTTTGAACAATTTTTGGTTTAATGAATCAACTCCAAGCAGAGGAAATGCAGCATTAAAGAAAGGAAATCTACTTGCTATTTAGCAAGTTTTTGTTTGGCCTTAAGATGAGTTGTTTCAAGTTAATTCTGTTCTGGTGGTTGCATGCCACTTGAGCTGTGGAATGGTGCTACAAGGAGCACTTACGTAGTTGCATTTCTTTCCCCTAAAGAAAAGGGAAACCAACCAATTCAGTTACCTTACAGCCAGTAAGACTACTTAATAAATAATTCTAAGTATTAGCCCTAGAGTCTAACAATCAGGGAGAACATAACAGAGCATCTGAGAAAAGAAGCAAACAGAAAGGATGGCAACCATTCCTCTTCAAGTATACCTACACCAGTTAAATAGCATCTCTCTCACAGCTCTCTCCAGTGAAGCAAATGTGCCAGAAATTCTCTCAAGATGTTACCAAGATCTAACTTTACACTAAAACCGCACAGCTAGTTTTACCCTTGCCCTCTCAGAGGGAGGCAATATTGGTTTGGACCGAGTCAAACCAGCTGAAGCCCTTCTATAAGTATAGACTGAGTTTTACCCAAGTCCTATTAAGAAACATATGAAACATTAATAGACTTACATCAAACTACTCATGGTCTGGGCTGCAGTCTTCCATATGAGTATGGGGGTACTGATGCACCCTAGGCATTGCTGCGTACTGAATGATATCTCATGATACTCCTGATAATGAAGGTCTGAAAAATGAAGGATTATGGGATATACCAAAGAGGTGTTACCGCAGCTGTACCACAAGAATTTAGAGTATAATGTGCCATATAAATTTGACCTTTTGTGTAGAAATCCAGAGGTTTCTATCTAGTAATGTAAATGGATATAACTTTTATTGGGAATGCCTCAGACATCAGGTGACTCACATGATCAAAGCCTTAAAATTAATCTGTACGCTCAAGAGAGACCTTCATCTCAAAAAGAAATCTTCAATTTATTCAAGTTGAAGTAATTGTAACAAGGAAAAAGAGCTCTATAATACAGTAAAGTGAAAATTCAAGAAGACTAACTTTCTCCCTCTTGAGAGCACTTTTCTAGTTATTACTGACACTTGAGAAGTACTTGTAATCTGATGGAAACAAAAGTATTCAAACCCTTCACACCTTTCAACATCTTTGAGGTGACACAGTCAATGCCCACAGATTCAGTGTTTAGCGGTACTGCCGGCTGAAATTATGTAGCTGGATTTTATAACAGAGAGTTAGAGCCACAGCTCAGATAAATTACGTTTCCTCTAACTTTCTCTCCCACTATAGAGACAGAAACAAAATTGCCTTTTTGGCTTTGCCAACTCAGCAAGCATGCTGCATCAATACACGGACAGAATCAAGGAGGGATATTATGAAACAGTGATGTCCTGTTACATGCAGAGACAATAGCTCAGTTTCATTCCCAGACACCAGAGCAGCTCCTTAGTGATTCTCCACTTTCCACCAGAAGTACAAGAAAATGAAAGAGGGGAAAATAAACAGGATGGGAAAAAAAACTAAACCACCCTTCTGTACATATTGGTACTAGCCTGGTCTTTGCCTTCTCTCAACTTAATTCTGCTTAGTACAACTTCACTGATTGACAGCAGCACCAGGCTAGTAATTTACTTTGATTTCTGGTGGAGAATAACCCATTTTAGAGCCAAACCTAGCAACCAGCAATTCCTAACCTTAATGACAATTTTCAAATATCTTTCTTAAGGAAATTAAAGTATGCAATCACTCCACCATATCTCTGCCCCTTCCCCACTACAATTTCAATCAATTTCAATCAAATTTGAGATATAGGCGGAAGTTTGCATGGGTTAACCCCCAGCACCACTTGGGTTTTGTTGGATTTGGGTTTTTCTGGTTTGGTTTGGGTTTTTTCCCCTCCAGGAAATCACTCAATAGTTTCCTCATGTTCCTTTATGCTGCTGCTGCTGCTGGTAGAAGGAGTATCTGGGTGATTATATCCAAATCCATCTACAGTGGAAACACAGTAATCTCTGTCCAGTTTCACTGAAGAAGACAAGTCAAGCAAGGGAGAAACCCCCTTATAATGATTTCACAAAAGCATTCTTCCAGATGCCCAAGAGCTACCACTGTATCTCTGGATACTGCGGCCTCCACTTCACTCTGCAGGGAAGAAAAAGCCAAACATAACTAAAATCAGCCTGTTTCCCCGGCCTCCTTGCCCCTTTTTTTGAGTCTATATTTTCTTTATTAAATTTTGTCTGCCCAAGGAGCAAGTTCAGCCCACCATAAAATATGTCACAGAAGCTTTAAACGTTAGGAATCTTTTGTGACCCAGCTGTTCCCCCTGTTCTGCATCACACAGAACACCACATGTGCACACACCCAGAGAAAACATCACCAAAACACACAGGAAAATGAAAATTATTGTTTAGTAGACTCTATACCCCAAGCTATTGAAAGAGCTACTTCCTAAATTACGTATCTTTAGCAGCAGTGAGACAGCGGGCATGCAAAAATTGAAAGAATTGATGCAGACGTATTCTGTATTTGTTTTCTGATTGTTGGCCCAAAGCAACATCAATTTTAAAAAGCCCTAGTTTCTACCCTTTGTGGACAAGGTAGTAGGATGCAGCCCCAAACCATAGCTGGTATAGACAGACAGACAGAGTGAGGGAAAAAGGCAGGTAAATTATTTCAATTTTTCAGGACTGAGCTGCACTGTAGATACTCTCCACAGTTTGCCTTGAGTCATGGCTACTAATCTCTCTCACAAGAGGAAGAAATAAGTACTCAGCTCTGAACCCATCCAAATACCTAATCTGTCCTCACTTGAACATTCTGAAGGGAACAATCTGGAATGGACTCAGTGGCCTTTTTCCAAGTCCTGCCTCATTCGCCTGCATGTTGGAAATGAACCACTTTCATCCGAACTTGTCCTCTAGATCCTTTGGCTCTTGCATCATGACTGAATACACAGTTTAACATACTGATCATCAGCCCTCACTAAGATTTGTGAAACCGCATTTACTCTGATTCTTCTTGTTCCTTCTGGAAGACCTTTTTGTTTTTTTAACCTCTTCATTAAAGTCTCATACTTCCCTCTTGCTTCATCACTGAACAACACCTGCTTTCTATAATAAGGAAGTGTCATGGCTAACTGTGGCAGTTCAGGCAAGCGGTGCTGTATGAGTTTTAAAATAATTGTTACCACAAAGAGAAATGCACTGAGGGGGTTGGAATCTGAATCTAACTGGTGGTTTAGGTGAGCATGTCACATTCGTCTGCCTCAGGCCCCCAGTCCTATTCCCCATGTATATTGTTTTAACTTGCGTCAGTTACTCTAGTTTGGTGCTTTTGAAATTATGGATTCTGTTCAGAGGTTACCAAAATCCTGCCAGGAATATACACACCACCTCTAGTTTTTTTGTAAAAATTCTCCTCTGGTTAAGAGTGTTTATTCAGGGTAGTTGGGGGAGTTCCCTTCAGAATACAACAAATGCATGTTTCTGCAGGAATAAATTATTATCTAATGACTCAATCATCCAGATTGTTACACCTAAATAAATGGTTATATGGATTCTGAATGGAGACAGATTTCTATTTATAGATCATCTATTTATGTCTGAGATGCATTTCAATATAAATTGCAGTACCTAATGCTAAGCTCTACAACATGTCATTCACAATCCATTAGGGATGTTATTACATGTATTGTAGAAGAGAGAAATTTATAGTCCCCATTTACAGTATTAATAAGAAATGATGAAACCACACAAAGACGTATTGGGTTTTGGTTTATGTGGAGTTTTACTGCTTAAGCATAGTTACAAGTCATGTTTTAATGTTTTATAGTAATAAAAGGCATGATCTGAGTGCTGAGTAATGTATCTAAGAATTAAAAGATGCACTACTAAAATAATATAAGCTCTCATATTTAGGCACAAACAAATGCACACTTAGCATACTCTCAGTTGCTTGTTAAGTTGTAGCAGCATGTGGTATTGACTCATTCTTTTAAAAGCATTTACCAGGCACTTCATCACAGAAAGTTTCAAACACTTCAGTTTGCTTGAAAATTTGAAAAAAAAAACACACACCAAAAAACCAAAAAAAAACAACCACAAGCAAAAAAACCTCACACACACAATTTATTCCTTGCATTCTGTGCATCCTTTCTGAGTTTCCTAAGGTCATCCCTCACTCTCAATTATTTGACTATTAAACTGGAAATGCTTATTTCCCCACTATTTCTGTCAAAGATGAGTCAGCGGGGAAATAAAGGCTTTCCTTGTTACTTTTTTCTTAACTTACCTCTCAAAATTTCATTTTCTGTTACTGTCTAGGAAAAGATCAGATGTTTGAGAAAAACATTTTCCTTATTTCTGCTGTGACACTGTCCTCAAGAGAAGCTATCTCCATGCTTGTTCAGCTCTCCCACTTGTCAAACATGCAAAGAAGAGAGGAGGACAATCTTCTTTGCACATATATGGTGTCCTAGGTTCAACAGTAGCAGTCATTTTTCTCCTTAGTAGCTGGTGCAGTGCTGTGGTTTTAACTTTCAGCCTGAGAACAGTGCTGATAACACTGATGTTTCTAGTTGTTGCTAAGAAATGTTTACTCTGACCAAGGACTTTCTGAGCCTCATGCTCTGCCAGGGAGGAGGGGAAGCTGGGAGGAAGCGGGGACAGGACACCTGACCCAAACTAGCCAAAGGAGTATTCCATACCACAGCATGTCATGCCCACTATATAAACTGGAAGCAGTTACCCAGAAGGGCTAGATCACTGCTCAGATCAGGCTGAGTATCAGTTGGTGGGGTGGTGAGTGATTGTACACTCTTCCCTTGTTATTTCCCTTATCATTATTATTATTGGTGATAGCAGCAGTGATTTGTGTTATACCTTAGTTACTGGACTGTTCTTATCTCAACCTGTGGGAGTTACATTCTTTCCATTCTCCTCCCCATACCTCTGGGAGCAGGGAGAGGAAGAGGGGGGGGAGTGAGGCAGCGGCTGAGTGGTTCTGAATTACCAGCTGGGCTTAAACCATGACATATGGGGAAAGGTCATTGCTTAAAAAAGCATCCAAAGCAAATTAACACTTTCAAAAAAATATTGCCACAGCTTTTGATGATCCCTCCCTTTAACCAAAATCCTGGGGAAGAGGGACAAAGTAAGAGAATGGAAAAGGTTATTTTGTGATTATTTCAAGTTTTGAGATGAATAGTTATTGCTCTCCTCAGATGTAGCTCTGAATCCTATGGTCTAAGTCTTGCTAGCCCTTTCCAGAGGCTTTCACATTCATGAGTCCTCAGTCAATCCCCATTCAGCTGCTGTTACTTCAAACAACATGTACCTGAACAAAATTTCAAGCAAAGCATATCTGAACAGGTCTTTAAAGAAGTCTCCGATATCATCTTACTTTCTCATGCATTATTATTGGCTGGTTGTCTAATGGAAATGGGAACCAAAACATTAACACATGGAATTACCTAGCAGTCTTTCTATATTCTATTCTTGTAATACTTGAACATCTCTCACTAGGATATAAGGTTTGACAAGAGCACTACCCTGAAGAAAAATACTTCAACCCATATTGCAGAGGGAAGACAGAGGCAGGAGTAACTCGCTGGAAGTAAAAACAATCTCATTGACAAACATTTACATTGAGTAAGAGAACGCTGAACTCTGGAGCACTATTTTATAAATAATGCATAGAAGTATACCACTGCTTACTTA